CGTCTCTATCTTCAGCTTTATCTTTGACATCACTGAAGGTTCTTTTGGTGTGAGTTTTGTCTTCTTGAAGAATACTTGGTTCATTAGAGAAGTTTACAATACATGTTCAGCGATCACTAAATAGACTTAGTGATGATTGTTGAAACTAAACAAAACAGAAATAAGTGTTTTTCGCTAGGTATAAAAGAATCATCATCAAATCACTGAGAGAGTTTGGATCAACAAAGATGATAAATTTAACTCGGAAACAGAAGCAAGAAGAGTTCATATAACTGAAATCAGTACTCAATCAACTTTTCTAACTAAAACTCACATGGTTCATGTATGTGCATGGTTGTTGTAAAATCCAAGAAGCCAAAAATTATATGTTGTGAATCCACCTAAAACCCGTATATTGGTTTTCCCCTCTCTTGCTTTAATGTGGTGGTCGTACAACCGAAGAAGCCAACATCCCTAGTTGAGGCCTACAACCTAGTGGTTTAACAAAAACCATAGAAGGAGGTTTAGATGGGAAGAATATGGATAGTTTTTCTGAAACCTAAATTGAGTAAATATCGTAAACTAATAAGGTAAAAAGGAAAGTAGTATTGTAAGGAAAAAGGATGGAGGAATTTAGGAGTTGGATATGACGATATTGAGAGTGAAGAAGTAAGACGAATGATTAGGAGAAGTTGAGAGATAGATAACTAGTAGGGAAAATTAAAAGAGGGTTAGGAGCAGTTAGGAAAATGGATCGTCTAATAAGGGTGCGTTTGGTTTGCAGGAATGTTTCTGAGGGATTTGGATTCCTGGAGGGATTTGGATTCCATGGGATTTGGATTGGATTGGATTTAAAATCCATTCCTGTGTTTGGTTTGCAAGATTTGGATTTGATTTGAAATCCATTCCTCTGTTTGGTTTGTAGGATTTGGATTTAGATTTTTTTTTAATTATTTTAATCACCAAATCTCTTTCATTTTCTTAAATCTATCTATTTAACCAACAAACCTAAAAATTTAACAATCACGAAGATTTAACCCTGCTTGGTTTGATGAATTTTCTACTTGGTTGGAGTATAGTGTGAATCAAAATGCAGCATATTGCTTATGTTGCTATCTTTTTAAACCAAATATAGGAGCACAAGCAGGTGATGACTCGTTTGTTGGCTTAGGATTTAAAAATTGGTCGAAGAAAGAGAAGTAAGGATTCATATTGGAGGCGTTAATAGTGCTCACAACCAGGCTTGGTCGAAGTGCGCAATTTTGTTGAACGAACAACAACACATTGAAGCTCTTACGATCAAGCAGCCAGAACAAAGTAATATAGACTACAAGATACATTTGAATGCATCGATTGATTGTGTTCGGTTTCTTTTAAGGCAACATCTTGCATTCAGAGGCCATGATGAATCTGAAACTTCAAATAACAGGGGGAACTTTATAGAGCTATTGCAGTTTCTTGATGATCATAATAAAAGCATTGAAGCTGTTACTTTCAAGAATGTTGCTGAGAATCTCAAGTTAACTTCATCGGATTTTCAAAAGGCCATTCTTAATGCAGTTGCGACCGAAACAAGTGATATTGGTGATGATTTTTTCTCGGTCCATGTCGATGAATGTTATGATGTTTCAGTTAAAAAACAAATGAGCATTGTGGTGCGTTATGTGCACGAGAGGACATATAATCGAGCGCTTTCTAGGTATAGAGCATGTCCCGGATGCTACATCTAGGTTGGTGAGTTGTAATTGATTAAGCATCGTATACTATAAAGATTGTAATGTAATAACGAGAAGATTGGAAAGGGAAGTCTTACCTGCTCAAGCGGGACGAAGAGGCGAAGAGGCGAAGAGGATGAGCATCGGTTCAAGCGGGACGAAGAGCAGAGAGAAGGAGAGAACCGGCGAGAGCAGTGGGGAGTTGGAGGAGACACCGGCGCGAGCAGTGGGGAGTTGAAGGAGACCGGCGAGAGCAATGGGGAAAGCGACGAGAAGTGGGGAGTTGGAGGAGACCGGCGAGAGCAATGGGGAAAGTGACGAGAAGGGGTTAGGGCATGAAGATTAAAGCATCAAAGAGGAGATGTCGCCCGGATTTGGATTTTAAATTCAGCCCATTTACTATGGATTTCAAAATCCCTTGTTTACGGGATTTTAAAAAATACACGGGATTTCAAATCCTGATCAATTAGCAAACCAAACATGGGATTGGAATGGATTTTAAATCCAAATCCTCCCAAATCCATTCCATTCCGCCAAACCAAACGCACCCTAAGGAAAATATCAAAAGACCTGGTTCAGGATGAAATTTTTTATTCTTTATATAGGAACAAAAAGATCTTTAAAATATAAAATATTAGAAAAAAATACAAAAATCCACAACTCACCAACTTCTACAAAGATTCCTACCTAACCAGTGTTCCACATCATTATATGTGGTTTTAATATATATATATATATATATATATATAGAGAGAGAGAGAGAGAGAGAGAGATATTTATAGTTTGATTATATGTTAATAATTTTAGTGAGGTTCAAATACTAATCAATTTTTTTGTGTTAACTATGTTAACCAAGCTCAACCAATCATATTCCATTTTTTCCTTTAGTTCAAATGTAACTCATATATTAAATACAAGGGCATTTAAGTAATTCTTTATTTTATGTAACTCCCAAATAATTAATTGGGAGTTACAAATTTGAAAATATCACAATTGATCATGATAAAATATTGACATTGGGGTTTTACACGTTCATGTTCTATAATTCACATTTATTTTAATCGACAATTCTCACCTTTGACATATGAATACATCAGAAATCACACAGCCTTAGATGTCGTGATTCATAAGTGTCCATGTATATTCAAGTCACTAGATGTTCATATGAATACATATACACACATAACATGTGAAAACATGTAAACACGTATGAAAACACACAGCCTAGATGCCTTGGTTCATAGGTGTTCATGTACATACAGCAGAGTTGGCTCCTGAA